GGAATTCGGATTATCCGGAATTCGGATTATCCGGAATTCGGATTATCCGGAATTCGGATTATCCGGAATTCGGATTATCGGAATTCGGATTATCCGGAATCGGATTATCGGAATTCGGATTATCCGGAATTCGGATTATCGGACTTCGATTATCCGGAATTCGGATTATCCGGAATTCCGATTATCCGGAATCGGATTATCCGGAATTCCGATTATCGGAATTCCGATTTCCGGAATTCGGAATTATCCGGAATTCGGATTAATCCGGAATTCGATTATCCGGAATTCGGATTATCCGGAATTCCGATTATCCGGAATTCCGATTATCCGGAATTCGGATTATCGGAATTCGGATTATCCGAATTCCGATTATCCGGATTCGGATTATCCGGAATTCCGATTATCCGGAATTCGGATTATCCGGAATTACGGATTATCCGGAATTCGGATTATCCGGAAATTCGGATTATCCGGAATTCGGATTATCCGGAATTCCGATTATCCGGAATTCGGATTATCCGGAAATTCGGATTATCGGAATTCGGATTATCCGGAATTCGGATTATCGGACTTCCGATTATCCGGAATTCGGATTACGGAATTCGGATTATCGGAATTCGGATTATCCGGAATTCGGATTATCCGGAATTCCGATATCCGGATTATCCGGAATTCGAGTATCCGGAATTCCGATTATCCGAATTCGGATTATCCGGAATTCGGATTATCCGGACTTCGGATATCCGGAATTCGGATTATCCGGAATTCGGATTATCCGGAATTCGGATTATCCGGAATTCGGATTATCCGGAATTCGGATTATCCGGAATTCGAATTATCCGGAATTCGGATTATCCGGAATTCGGATTATCCGGAATTCGGATTATCGGAATTCGGATTATTCCGGAATTCGGATTATCCGGAATTCGGAATTCGGATTATCCGGAATTCGGATTATCCGGAATTCGGATTATCCGGAATTAGGAATTCGGATTATCCGGAATTCGGATTATCCGGAATTCGGATATCCGGAATTCCGATTATCCGGAATTCGGATTATCCGGAATTCGGATTATCCGGAATTCGGATTATACGGAATTCGATTATCCGGAATTCGGATTATCCGGGACTTCCGATTATCCGGAATTCGGATTATCCGGAATTCGATTATCCGGAATTCGGATTATCCGGAATTCGGATTATCCGGAATTCCGATTATCGGAATTCCGATTATCCGGAATTCGGATTATCCGGAATTCGGATTATCCGGAATTCGGATTATCCGGAATTCGGATTATCCGGAATTCGGATTATCGGGAATTCGGATTATCCGGAATTCGGATTTCCGGATTCGGATTATCCGGAATTCGGATTATCCGGAATTCGGATTATCCGGAATTCGGATTATC